GTAGCTTGTATCTCCTGGGCACTGAGTGCTTTGTAGTTGAAGCTCAGGAAAGTTAAGTAAATACCAAATAAGTGGCTGGCACTTTGAACCTAAACCTGTGTGATGACTTCAAAACCTTTGCTTTCCCATCGTACTGTGCTGCTTCACATTTACTGAAGACTATGGTAGATATTTTACATGTTTTATCTTAAGAAGCTGTAATTCCCTAAAAAGTATTATTGATATACTATGTTAATTTAAATAAGAACAATATCAATCTTCCTTAAAATAAGAAATCTAAGTTTTTTTCCCTTAACAAACATGCAGGAGAAGAGGAAAAACACCAGTGATCCTATTACAATTTGGCAGACCAGTATTAATAGGATTTCTATTGTTTAGGAATGCTGAGATTTCATTTATAACATTTTTATTATGACATTAACATTATTTGTATATTATAAATTGTCAATTGTTGACTGACCAGAATTACAAGTTTGTTTGAAGGTTAGTTTTACAGGACAGTGCAACAGATTTTGTTATCTTTTGAGAATTTACAAGACCGTTTTTTCCAAATTATATTTCCCAGATTAGATTTAGCAGACAACAGAACAAATTGGTGACAATTAGGAATATTCACACAATCTTCATTTTGCACAGGAAAACAATATTGTCCTGCGAATGTTTTTAATTTAAGGAATTGTCAAATAGGATTCCTTAAACTGTATTATGGAATTGAAAAAATTTCATTTTTCATAGCTACAGAGCAGAGGAACATCACTTCCATCTCTTTCTGAGACTCTGTTCGTAATTATGAAGATTTTTATTTTTAGGCCAGGATTTGAAATTTCATTAGTTGACATTAAAAACACAAAGCAAGCTGGGCACTGTGGTATGTGCCTGTAATCCCAGCTACTCAGGTGGCTGAGGTGGGAAGATTGCTTTAGCCCAAGAGTTCAAGACCAGCTTGGGCAATATAGTAAGACCCCATCTCAAGAAAAAATGCAAAGCAGGTCTGCAGAACTCAATTTTACTGGCAAAAGTCAAGAAAGAGGTAAATAGTATTTCATTTAATAACTGAGACGATGTTAGACTGGATCTAGCATTAATCTTCCACATCTACATTAAGCATTTCCTTTTACTCTTTGAAAAATAACTTTATAAACTGATTCAACAATTAATTATAGATTTAAAATATATTGAGATTATAATTGAGAAGACAAACTCTAAAATGGACTTGTAATATTTTCTTTAAAATTTGATATCATGGTATTTATCTTTGTGTGCAGGAGACAGATGCTGACCCCTTACTGTGACACGCTCAGAAGTAATCCATTGCAGCTAACTTGCAGACAGGACCAGAGAGCAGTTGCAGTTTGTAATTTGCAGAAGTTTCCTAAACCTTTACCACTAGAGTACCAGGTAACACTTGTTTGGGGCACAATTTTAGGAATCCATTTTTTAAAAAGTAGTCTCCATTTTGAATTAGAAGAGTGAATTCTCTTAAGTTTTTAAATTGTATAAGACCCCATTTTTCTTCCGTAAGCTAGAAAAAACTGAGTAATTCCTCCATTTCTTTAAAACTAATGTGTGGCCGGGCACAGTGGCTCACACCTGTAATCCTAGCACTCTGGAAGGCTGAGGCTGGGTGGATCGTTTGAGCTCAGGAGTTTGAGACCAGCCTGAGCAAGAGTGAGACCTGGTCTCTACTAAAAAAAATAGAAAGAAATTAGC